AAATATCCTTCTATAATTACCTTCAAACGGATTATTATTTTGGTTTTTATTATTTTATTCTAAATTATCGCCATAATCATATGCATATTTCAAATCGTCAAATCGTATACATTAAATATATCTTAAATTATTCAAAATCACCCAAAATTATAATAAATAACAAATTAATAATAATATAACTAATAAATTTCAAGTAATTTAAAACTGTCTGAAAAACTTCCATCCATTTATAAGGGTGACGCTTATGGAAACTTTTACTTTCTGTTTTATTTTTTTGTACTGATACAACTTGATGATTATGGTAAACCTTTTTGAGCTTTTAAAAAAAATACAGCGTTTATAATGCAATAAACAATTCGGTTTTTCGATTTTTATTGAATTATATACATTTTCGTATCTATATTTTATTTTTTACCTTTTCCTTAAGAGATATTAACCTAACCTACTTTCACGTAATTTTGTGTGTAGATTTCTACGTGCAGTGTAGCAATTTGGGAAGCTTCCAGTAGGAATTAGTTAGCATTTAAATATTTTCAACGAAGTAACACTTAGGATAGCCTAGTTGCTACAAATTATGTCGGATGAAAAAGCTCGCATTTTGACTTTTTACTCTTTTACATTTCAAAGCACACAAAAATGTCATTGAGTTAAAATTAACCTCTTTGATATCCATAATCGTAACGAAACGTGGCTGTCTCGTTAGGCTTTTTTGTTCCTATTGTTCGTGAATCTTTTGTTTAAAACTCGCTGGTTTTGTTTATTCATATGATGCTTATATTTCACTGTACGTTCACGTGAAATATTTTATGTAGAACATATTCGCTTAGCTTTAAAAACACTACACTATATTTTAGATTTATGTTATCGGTAACTTCATTAACCTAATTTCATTAAAATTAGATACTATTAGGAAACGTAATAGAAATAAATAGCAATCTGGCAATATCTGGTCTGTTTTATGTAGGCTTTTAATACCTATATTAATACATAGCAGTGTTGGCCTAGTGGCTTTAGCGTGCGACTCTCATCCCTGAGGTCATAGATTCGATCCCGGATGCGCACCTATGGGCTTTCTTTCTATGTGCGCATTTAACATTCGCTCAAACGGTGAAGGAGAACATCGTGAGGAAACCGACATGTCTTAGACCCAAAAAAGTCGACGGCGTGTGTCAGGCCCAGGAGGCTGATAGAATACTTGCCTATTAGATAAAATAATGATCATGAAACTGATTCAGAAATCTGAGGCCCAGACCTAAAGAGGTTGTAGCGCCACAGATTTTTGAATACCTATGTAATATTTATTATTAAACACTTTTTGTCACAACTCGGAGAACTTCGAAACACGAAAGTGACTATTTATATGAAAAAGGACTAAAAATCAAGTCAATGTATACAATGGAAAATTGTTTAACAGGGTCGTTGAAGGTACTTCGTATTATCCATCATTGTAGTGGCCATTAAATTTAAGAGGCGAAGGGCGAGGGCGCGCCGGGTCATGTCATTCACTTGTCGGTTGGTGGCGCCTATTTACGTCTTAATATACTTACATACCACGCACTTAACTAAAAGCAAATTCCACGAATAAAAGCCCCGTATAGACGAAACGATAAGCTTATTGCGCCTTTGATTATTATATACGCAATGTCGTAGCTCTTCGTTCGAAGGAATGTAAAAAAATCCGCTTTTACTTTGAGGCTTTGTGTTTATAAATTATATTTAAAATTAAAAAATATTGAATATTATATTGTAACGTGTAGTTTTTTATTAAATAAAATGTTTATATGTGATTTTTACACGGAATTACTTTGATTTAACATTTTTATATCTGTTTACGTAATCTAATTTTATTTGGCTGTTTTTTTAATATATGTATATGCTAATAAGTACACATTAACCATAACTTTCTCCAATCTCCATAGTTTTAATGACTCTTATTGCGCAATAGATTTTCACTTTGTTTTTGCTTTTTATTAGTGTCATAAGTACAGAGACTCAGTTGATACATCCGTCGTTTCTCACGGTTTGACCTTTGTGTTGCAATGAAAAATTCAATAAATTTTGTTGAAAAACGTACACTAATGTCAACTCGGTATAAAGTCATTTATAATCCTCCATACCGATATAATACGTATTAGGTTATTTTATACGCTGTAGGCGGGTGTGAATTTCATTACTAACAATTAGAAGCCTTACGTAGTTACGGCACAGTTACGAGCCTCCAAATAACAAAAACAACTATTGATTAGTTCGTTCTGCGTATCAGTAGACGGAATCTTATATTATTTTGCATAAAAGCGTTTTGGCAATTTATATTTCATTTTATTATAATAAAATAAATGAACTAGAATGAATATAAGGGTACTGAGATTACCGCCGATATTTTAACGGGAAGTTACATATAAATTTAATATTAAGACTTTTAAGTTTTAATATTAAGACTATGAATTAATGGATTATCTTTGTATAGATTATCTATAATCTATTAATCATTGTGCATGTTACAACGCGTAGTCTACCGCCATGACTTTATTTTCCTCCTAAAACTATATATATAAGTGTGTAATATAATATATATGTATTTAAAATATTATACGTTCAATAATAATAGTAAAAGGCTTTTGCCTTATTATGTGTTAAGAGCAATATTCTGCTGTCACTTCTGGAAAAAGTATAGAGGACATTTTAGATAGTACCCGACGTAAGTTTCCTCTTTGCAACTAAAACTAAAAAAACGATCTTAACCTCTCGATTTTTCTTTTCCTATTAAAAGTGCTGGCGCAACCTTACATATGCCAAGAATTATCAGTGAAACGACGGTGAAAATAGAAATTTTGCCAAGTTTTAAATTTCTTTTATTTACATTGTGTATCCTGTTATTGTGTATAGGAATAAATCGAAAGGATATTTAATTAGGTTTTTTACCTATGTTATATAAAATATTAATTAATATAAATGTACTGTACTTATTAAATGAGCGCATGAACGTTGGTGACAGGCGACAGCTCAAGAGGCCTCGACTATAGTGATATTGCAGAGAGCCATTGACCCACTCCTTTTTATTAAGTAGAGCATCCTAGTTTAAAGGAAATTACATTGCGGCCGCATTAATTTTAAAGTGCTTGCTGTGCTTGGCCGGATTAAATAGAAATAACATTATTTTACTTACTGCCGTACTTCATGAGTAACAATTGTCAATATTTAAGTGACTTTAGATCTAATCGAAAGCTTTAAAGGTCTTTACCGACCCTAAGGTCTCCTAGGTTAATTGTATAATTTAGCACGTTGAATAGAATTAGCACTAATATCAAAATCGAATTATAATTAGTTACCTGATATCTTTTAAAATATCTTTTTACGTAAGGTACTGTACAAATAACAAGAGTCGTGGTTCTTTACTGGAAATAATTAAATTTGCATACAAAAGTATTGCATAAATAAGTCGAGTAATTAAGTAAATATGTAATGAACAACTTACGAATTTATATGTTAGTGTTAACTTGTGAGTTTGTATGCACTAAGATCCTAGAATATATGTTGCGTTTAAGATACTAGTTAGGTATTATAAAAAAAATCCCAGAATAAAAGACTTCGTAAAGAATGAAACCGAATTGGCATCTGGCCATATTTGTTGACGTAGGCGTATTTTATATGCTGAAATAAAAGTATGAGAGTACAAAGCATTACATTTTTATTGTTTCAAAATAAACTCTTATATTTTTATTATGGAGGAGGCCTTTACCGGAGAGGGTTGCTGATAAAAACTAACTGTACAAGATATTCACTAACACATGAGATAGATAGATATTTTTTTATTAGGAAATAAGAAAGGCTAAAAAGAAAAAAAAAACTTTACTTTAGGGTATATAAACTCCAAATAAAAGGAGTTCGCGTGAATTTTGATACCTATATAAATCAGTAATCGTACGAACAGATTTTTTTTATAGAAAGTGCATTTGAACGTATTTTTTTTACGGACCGTACTCTAAACTGGTTATGTCAAACTGCAAAGTAGTAAACAGTTGTAGCAAATTTGAGTGTTTAGAACCGGGCATTACTGAAAAGCAACTCATTATTTTAATTGTCGTGTCGATGTATTCCTCATATATAAGTACTACTACACCCTTGACCGACTTCAAGTTTATAATTATTATTTTAGTCCCTGGTTTAATTACACGGCATTCACGAATTCACGGCAAAATTTTACGTCTTTCGGGTAAAGTTCAGAAGGCCTAAAACTTTTTAAAGTGTTATACGAGCTTTTCGTTCCTTACAATTGATCCGCATTGAATGTTTATTCCGCACGTGAGAAAGTTCCACTGATGCACCATCGGAGTTCGAATGCGCAGAGTTGATAATCGCTCAAATTTGAATATATTAACAAGAACGCATACATTTATAAAGATGAAAACGTCGATAAAGATTTAATAGACTTTTTATTGTAACAACAGAAAGTAGAATTACATAATAACATGCAAAGCAATTACTGCTTCATATAAACAAAGATTTGTGTATAAATTTGAAATTATTCATATTCATTAAGGTATGAATATGAGTCGAAAACCATGTGATGAACTGCACTAACTAAATTTTGATCTCGGTAACAGAAACAAAGGATAGAGCTTAACTTAGATACTTTATAATAATAAATGGAGATAAACGTAACATATTCTTATAGCACGGCTGTTCATAAAGAACTCGGAAGTCCTGGGTTTGATTCATAAACACTGATAGTTCATATCCATAATTGACATTACTATAATTGGTTGCAATCCGCAAATATTTATAGGAGACCCTAGTTTGTACTTTATATTCTCTATAGCTTCTGCTTACTTTTTCCATACAAAATTATCTAATTTGATAAGTAAATACGTTTTTATTGATTTACTTATGCTGCACATCTAAAGTAGGAATTTCTTTTAGGAAAACGTAAAATGCACTTGGTATTTTACATCTCTTACAACTTAAAATTTACAAGTACATTTATTTAATTTCAGTTAATCATGAGGATTCACAATGACGTCGATAATGGCAACATACCGATTGTAGATAGAAAAAAAATATCACTTCGAGATCCGGAAGGAAGAGTAAAAAAAGATAGTTTAATTCAAAGCAGTAACATAGATAACTTTCATCTTTGGCATAATGCCAACGAGCATATAGACAATAGAACGAATTTTAATTCTATTAATTCAAGAACAAATGAGTCCTCAGTTTGTAACCACCTCTATAAATTGAGCAGGTTACGAGAACCAGAAAACACAATTGATGAAAATATTACTAACACTTCGAAAGATATTATTACAACAGGTGAGCTTCAAATAACTGTAGTCTTTTGCATCCTGAGTTTTTGATTGTATATAAAAAAAATTAAATTATTATATTTCTTGTGTGTTTTTAGTAAATACCAATGATTCAAAAAGTATTACTTCCGTTAACGACGGACAACCCTTTTATGATATATCAGATACAGAAGAAATGTCGGAGGATAGTATTCACCGAGTACCAAGAGGAATTGTAAATCCAAATTATCCTGGCTTTCAACATTTAGCTCATACGCTTCAGGTATGTCTTGTGACGTATTGTTATCATTTAATTTGTTGTTATAATTAGTTTTGTTCAACATTTCAGTGGTGTTTTTTACGAAGCTTTTAATCTATTTTATTATTGTACTAATCATATATTTTCAACATTACAGGAGTATAATTCAAATATAGAAAACTTTTATCACTCTGAAAATGAAATGACTGATGACGATATTGATACGGACATAACTGATTTTGAAATTAAGGATGCCAATGAAAATTACAAAGAGCTTAACAATAATAAATCAGAGTTCACTAACGGTCAGTTAATAAAACTAGCCAATAGCACTTTCGAATCGACCAAGCAAAGTGACATCCCTGATCTTCTTAAAACGATCTCATCCAATAACAATAATGATGACGCCATAAATTGCGATATTACTTTAATAGGAAATGATATAGAGAATAATTTTAATACAAAAGATATAATCGGCGATTTCAACAAAGAAATCGAAGATGAAATTAAACAATTATTAAACTACAATATTAACATTCAAGATGACTTGGAAGATCTTCGAAAAGATATAAAAGACAATTTCGAAAAACCAATAGAAACTACAATCAATAATATAAGCGAGGTGGTAAATCATGTTATAAAAAAACTAGTGAAAAGCGATGTTGATACTGAAACAAAAGGTGAAGTAAATACTGTCAACATGAATCAAACAAATGAGGTTAATGTGAGAATGGAAATTAACTTGAGCAGGCCTACATTCTTATTACTGGATAACTGTCACGAACAAATACAAGATGCGGCTTTGTCTGATGGAAAAGAAGAAATAAATTTAAATGAAGATGAGTACGATACGGAAAAATTAAGCAATAATGTAGAGACTACAATCAAGCAACTAAGCACAGAGTTGAGAAAAATAATTCCAAAATTAAATGAAATGCGAGAACGTGATAAGTTATGGGCAGATAGGCCTATAATAACTGATGGTAACTCCAATAGGATTGTAATGAAGTCGAGCAATACGTCAAATTTAAAAAAAGATACACGTAATCAAACCCATTATGAAAGCAACAGACAATTAAATAAACACAACTACTATCGTGTTCTGAATAAAAACCCTGAAAAGGCTCAAAGGTGCGTACGGTTAAACATTATCTAACCCATAGAAGTTGTTTTATATTTTACACACCTTATAATTGTTTACATATATTACGACTGGATTGGAGTGGTAAAGCCTATATGAGCTTTCGTCATACATTTATGCGTCTTTTAAGCCTGGCAGAATGTACGTGTAGTTTTAAATAGAATTGACGTGTTCACGAAACTGATCAATCTTTAGTTAATGTTCTGATTCACATCGAGTAAATAGCGTTTTCAGTGAAATTATTTTCAAGAATATTAATAACGTGAAGAATAAATGAGGTATTTCAAGAACACAAAAACTAAATAATAAACGTACCTAACTATATAACATGGTAATAATTAAAAAGTGATAATAATTTATTGTTATTAATATTTTAGTGGACCTAAAGATCCTTCCAAATATGCTCAACATAATTCGTCCGTCCCTCGAGATAATATTAATGTAGCAGACAGTGAGTTGGGTAAGTTTTATAATTACTATTTTCACCTCCTCTTATATATCGACTGATTTTTGAATGAGCTGCACATTTCCTTTTAGGAATATATATTTTATTCCATTTAGTATATTCTTTACATATTCTCACTTACAGATACCTTCGATGTTTATAATATAGAAACAGCGCTGCCGAAGTTAGATATAGACACTATAGAGAGTTACATAAAGGCCGCGAAAGAGGCAGAAAGACATGTAAGTAATTGTTAAGTACATTAACACCTATTTTATGTAATACCATAAATAAATAATTTTAGACGAGAACTTGTAAGCGAATAGTAATAGGTGCGTGAATGAAATGTATTATATAAAGTTACGTGAGTACCAGAGCAGTAACATTAATATTAGTATATTAGCTCCTTCATCGTAAGCAATAGCTTTACTAACTTGTACATTGTACAAGTTTTAATGAATTAAAAGAAAATGTTAGGCGTTATTAATATGTTGTGAAACACTATATACATTAATGCGAATCTTAAAGTAACGGTAACTACGATTGTGTTCAGTACACGTACACAATCGCATGCGAATCACGTTCGTTATAATAATATACCCGTAATCATTATAATAACAGTTAAAAATTGCCGATCAAACTTGAAGCACAAGTGCCTTTCTAAGTGATTCAGCGTTGCAGTAGGTTCCACCTACTTAGTCATTTACATAAGTCGCAGGCATTGCAGGCGTATTGACGCTTGCACAGTCATTGGTATTTGCAATATTCTTTAGTCAAATCTAGTGTTTTAGTGAAATATTTAAACCGTGGTTGTATTATTATTGTGATGACGTCTTTACCGTATTTTCATCCTGAACAAAGGCATTATAAAAAGGACACAAGATTTCTATTGGATTTATATACAATAACGTACGATAACCATGAATCTGTTGATAATATATGCTGTCTTGTAAGTTTTTAAATATTGTTCTAATCTCTATTAAATAAAATATATTATAATCTATTAATAATAAACTTTTCAAAGAGAAAACTAATGACCAATACTGCAAGTCAAAGAAATGGAACACAAAAAGAGCACGCTTGCCCTTGTCCTATATGTCAAAATAATGTCAAACCAAAGGATTGTCAATCTAGACAGCTTTGTTCATTGTCAACAATCAACATTTAAATTTTATATTAAAAAATGTTTTGTTTTAAACATATTTCCTAGTTACATAGCTGATAGTTATAAATTAATATTTGTGCCATTTTTTTTGCCAAAAAGTAACGAAGACTGAATAGTTTTAAAGATGTTTGAGAGTTTACTAAGTAATATTAAAAGGAAGTTGAGTAAGCCATCTCTAGAAACAACAGAAAAAGAGGGTATAGATAAAACTGGGTTGAGACGTAAATTTCAAATATTTAAGGGAAAAATTGGTAAATCACCAGAACAAACAGTGACTGCTACCTATAATGATAACAAAGCATTATGTCCTAGAGTTATAAGCGGGGGTGACTATGTTCAAACAGAAATAGAATGGCCAATAATATCAGATAGTAATCCTAACATATTGGACAAATTTACTAAGATTGTAACAATAGTTGACCATGAGCCTTTTAACAAAAACGTACAGTAACTTGTATTCATTTTGGATTTGCAAATTTTGTTGACAATTATTTAATATAAATATTTGTTTTAGAAACGAAATGATAGAGAGGAAATCAGGAAAAGGTTAGCTATGGGTATAGATTCAGAAGAATACTATAGTCTGGGTCACACAGACCGGCCAGGGAAAAAACCCAGCTTACATTCACGATTACAAAATGGTAAGAACTTTTGATTTAAGAACCTACTAAATGTATGAACACATGCTATAAAATTATTAAATCACCATTGCTGATTTAAATGACAACAGCAACATTCAAATTATAAATAATGTTTATAGATTACCTATTGGTTCTCTTTAGATTTTCTATCATTTAACAAAATAGTCTAGCAAATTCATCACTCTAATTTTTGCTTTGGGTCTTTGTTTATCATGTTTATAATTCTCAATTATATTTAATCAGGTAAGCTTGGTTGAACATTTCTGCTGTTAAAATTAAAAGTATCCGAATCACTGTGAAATGCTTAATTATCCTTTAAGAATGTGTTGTCTGTGACAGTTAAGCTATAATCATTTTCATATTACCACATGTCTACAATTTCTAATTTGTGTCAATGCAGAGATGTCCAATCCATTACCATGGGATTCTGTGCTAACTGTGCATTCCATCAACAGGAAAAAATTTACAAATATGTTTTATGAATGAGACAGCTTCTGATAATGAATCTCAATGTTCAGACTTGGACAGAAGTTTTAGTAGTAATAGTAAAAGTTTATCACGTTCAAGTATATTCAGCAAGAGTAGTTATAACCATCCCTATCAGACGAGACCACTTTCTGTCAACATAACAAAACAAGATAAAATAAACACCGTTCAGAGTGGTGAGAATTATTTAATGTTTGTAAAAAAATTTACCCTTAATATGTTCACATTCTTATTATTTTATTGGTGTTGGTTCTATTTTTGAAAGTTTAAGTTTTATGTTCTTACATTCATGCATGCATTGGTTATTTGTGATAATTGTACATACATTTTATATTGATTACATTTTAATTGATATTTTAGAAAACCTTTTTATTGCCTATGTGTTTCTAGGTTTCAAGTTGCACCCTGCATCTTTAATATCTAAATCATCCAAAACCCGTTCAACCCAATCTTTGAATCACATTGAATTAAAGGAATCTGATTTCTATGCACTACAAGCAACACTGCAGACTGAAGCTAGAATTGCCTTGGCACAAGCAAAGGAATTGGCTCGCATACAAATGGAGGTAATTTTTTTGTCTATTATTAAACTTTTTGTTTTGTTAAGGTTGGCTACTAAAAAACTTTTATTATGAAGCTCAATGTTAACATAAAAGCAGGAAAAGCAATTTAAATACTATGCATAAATTTATTTTTATGATATTTTTTACTGAATGAATAATTTCATATTTTCATGTGCGATAATGCGCGAGGTTTGAGTTACATTTGTGTTTTTCATTGTATTCAGTGAATGTCATGAGACATATTTTATATATTATTTTTTATTTATTCTTCACATTAACGGATTCAATTTAAAATATGTGATAAATGTTGTTTCTGTTCTTATTACACACTGCCAGTGTGCCATTCAAGCATTTAAATGTTGTACTTTGTAATATTTTTTCCTATTACAGCATGAGCGAAGAAGTCGACCAGTTTCACCTGTCACTGAAATGTTACGTCGTAGTATGGAGAAGGCCAACGTGCCACTTGCACCTGATCGTCGTCGCGTTTCAAGGCAGATACTTACTGATATGAACATAGCTCAATTACAGGTAAACGTCATATTTTAATAAAAGTTTAAAAAAACTATAATGTTTACGAACATTAACGAACGAACCGCCATTACTATAATAATTAGTAATGTGACTATTTTGTTACTTTATAAAGATTTAACATTAACATATAATAAATGTTTACCAAATTTTATTTTGTATTATAAAAATAAAAATTTTAATATGAATATAGTAATTGAATATATAAAGCAAATAAATACAGCATTATTTCAAAGTTGCTTACGTTATTACGATATTGCATGACCTTGTGTCGTTTTACGATTAACTCCACCGAGTCACGCGTATCTTCACAACAATGACCATTGTTTTTGTAAAAAGACGACTTTTTCATATGCATTTGATTTGTTTGTTTTATGTATTGTTATAAAAAAAAAATTGAGGGTAGATGTATAATTTTGATATATTTGATTAGTTAAATTTGACATTTAAGTAGTTGAAAAAGAATATAAAGATCACTTCCATACTTCATATTTACGTATGATTACTTTGAAGTTGATGTTCTGAGTCGAGACTTAGCGCTAAGCATTCGAAGCGTTAATTTGTTTTAATACGCATATTCAGGCTTATTAAGTCGGAAACACACTTACGTGTCGTGGCGTGTCGTGACGCGTCAGAAGCATATTGGTTTCATACATTTAATATGATTAGAAACATATTTGCATGTCGTGTCGTGTCGCAACACGTCCTTACGTGGCGCCGACTGCCCGCCACCGATTGCGCCAGATTCTAATCATATTAAATGTATGAAACCAATATGCTTCTGGCGCGTCACGACACGCCACGACACGTAAGTGTGTTTCCGCCTTACGTGTCGTGTCGTGGCGTCCTCTGGCGTTATTTCTGAACAGTACTTAACGAACCTTTGCAGCGTTCAAACATACATAATGTTTTCGTCTGATTCGGATAGTGATTTTGAATAAGACCTTCAAATTCTCTTAGCAATGAAACTTCTTAAGAGCAAAAAAATTAAAAGATACTGGGTTCACCATATAAACAGAGGGAGACAAGACAAAGGTGAATTTCATCGTCTTGTTAAAAAATTAGAGAGTGACGAAGAGAAATTTCATATTTGCTAGATGTTCGCGCCATGAGCGACGCGCCGGTATAGAAACACATTTGCCTGTTGTGTCGTGTCGCGTCATAACCCCCACCACCGCTCTGGCGCAATCGGTGGCGAGCAGTCGGCGCCACGACAGACAGAACGTGTTGCGACACGACGCGACATGCAAATATGTTTCTAATCATATTTAATGTATGAAACCAATATGCTTCTGGCGCGTCACGACACGCCACGACACGTAAGTGTGTTTCCGCCTTTAATAGTTTAAATATTTTAGGTGATTGTAAATGAGCTGCACTCTCAAATTGAGTGTCTTAACGACTCACTTGTCAAACTTTTGATGGCCAGAGACGAACTACACATGGGGCAAGACTCTATGCTTGTTGATATTGAGGATCTTACCCGATACTTGTGAGTATTTATTGCGTTTTAATAATTTTCAATTCATTTTCATCAACTTTTTATTGTAACATTTTATTTAGTCTAAACTTGGACTTGGTTTGTTAAAACAGTTTCCTGTATGAACTGAACTAATTCTATTTTTCTTGTATAATGATGACTTGATTTAAAAATTACGAATTAGTCTTATTATTACAAAGATATAACTAGTTAATTATTACAAAAACGTCTAAATCCACTGCATAAATAGAAGTAAGTCATAATAACGAAATTAATTAAAAATATTGCACGCCCAGATCTCGGAAACTTGAATTTCAAGGTCAGGTGACTTGTACATTGGTTTTTGCTAATTAAATTCTTAATGCTTATCATTGTATTTTTTGCGCTAAAATACATTTCTTGCAAAGTATTTTGATTAAGCATTCATATAATGTAGCAGGCATCTGTCATCAACACGTATTATTAAAATTTTAAATGAAAAGGGTTTTCATTGTCCTCGTTACTAGCATAAAGCTCAATAATATTTTTTATTGATTTTAATATAAATATTTATTATTCAATAAATGGTTGCCCTCTTGGCCCATATTAAATTTTAACGATTTCTCATGGTATCGTTTCAACTCATATGTTTGTATTACTTGATGAGGTGATCCGTTGTTTTTCAGCATTTTTCAATATAATATCAGTATATGAATAAATATTAAGTAGTGTCAGAAATGTATTTATTTCACTTTATGGTAGGGCGTTAGGCAGTGTGTGCTAATAAATTTCATATTATTATTTTGCAATTCCAGAGGTGTTAAAGAACAAAGCAAGAAGTCCAAAGGCCCTACCAAGTCTGGAGTGAGGCGACTAACAGCAATGGTGCACAAATAAACATCGGTTTGGTATTCATGTTATTGCTATTATATCGGAACCTGCTGTTATTAATACACTGGATAGAAATAATTTATAGGTCACAAAGAAAAAGTGCGGTAATAATTTTAATTCATGATAATAGTATTATTTATTTATATTTTTGTGAAGTTAATTAAGAACAGTTTCTTACAAATTACCCTGAAGGAGATTGGTTAAAAGAACAAAATAAAAATGAAGTAACCTTAATATTCATATAGGTGGCACAAACAATAAATACATCCTAATACTTCACAAAAAGTTTAATTAAGCATTTATGCGTTGCTCTGTCAGATATCCACAATTTTGTTTAGAAATTTGATGTATAGAAATACTTGACAATAGTTTGTTTGACAACAGTGATGTTTAAATGCAATTTTTAAACAAGCAAATTTAATTAAAAAATTAAATAATATTTTTTCAAATATCTTTTTTAATGTTCGTGTCCATTATGTTTCTATATTTACCGTACTTTTTCGAGATCCGATAAAGAATTTCTATTGATACAATTTCAAATTCTTATGTAGTCATAGTACAATGTTATAATGCATGGAACTAGTATATACAATTGAATAATGTTTATACTTGTATTTAGGCTATATGCTATTTGCAGATACCCAGTGATTTAAATATAATATGGGATTAATATTAGTAGGTTATTATGGTGCAACTTTTTATCAATAATCTTGGCAAATGTTATTGGCATTAAAGATACGATAGTTCGAAAGGAGAAAGACCGTCTTTATGAAGTGTAACATATTTATAAATTTACTTGCATTAATAATAAATAATGGTTTGCTTCTACCGGGTTCTAAAATTAATAGGTATCTTGTTAATGTTAATCATAGGCAACCATAATCTATAGTTCATTTTCTCGTCTATTCATTCTTGTTTAATAACTAATAATCAAAAATATTTGGTTTATTTAAAACTACATACGACAACAATTTTGTGTTAAGATTATATATGGGCCCTTAATATTCATAACCAATACAAAAACTTTAAAATAAAAATCCTTTTTTTGATCCCAAATCGATGTTGGGGAGGTTTAATGTTATTTCTTTGTGCGAACCCATATAGATGCCAAGTTTGGTCATTCTCCTTGATTTATATAATATTCCTTCATTATAGGATGTATTAGTTGAAATTTCGTCTGGCATATATTTGTTATGAGTGAAGTCAGATAAAATCAGATAAAAAGTTTTGCTTGATAACAGATTAGTTATATTCTTATTTTGATTCGATTTTTAAACCAGGGAATGATACTATTTCAGTTTTGCAAAATGTAGGAAATATGATAACTCATTCGTCGTTGTCTTTGGCACGCTTGCGTTACCAACATCTCCCATTGTATTGTATTGTGGACTCAACTTCCGCGCTTAGACGCTCATTAGGTCCGATGTGCGTCTCCTCATCAAACATCTCCCATACTAATTGATGTATTACGTGTTTTAAACAATCATGAAAAAATTATCAAGTAAAATATAAAATAAATAAGTCATTTCCAGGTACCTAATAGATAAATTTAATTTATTAAAGTGCCAGTAATTACTCTCCTCAAATACCCAGTTCCTATTTTACGTACTGCATACATATTCATTTAAAAGCAACAGGTAGAGTTCGATTTTTAAATTTTCATATTTGTTAGATGTTTTTTTGTAACAATAGTTCGATATTAAAAATTTGCCTGCCATAAGTTACTTCACATTGATGATTCATATTTCGCTATAAATGATACTGAAATCGATACAAATAGAGTCAGGTCATTGTTTTCCTTTTTTATATTAGAAAGATTCGATGCTGATTTTAGTCGTGATGCAATGTCCGATGAATATTTAGAAATTTAGCAGATTCAACACCTGGGTAAATTTCAAAATCTTTGCGTTGTTTGTATGTTTTTAATTTTTTCAATTTGTTTATTATTGAGTATTATAAAGTATAAGTATTAGTATAAAGTATTTCTAGATGGAAAAAATTAAAACTTCCTTATTTAACGTTTTCTTCTTAAAATTCAGATGTGACGTAATTTATGAATGGCCAACTAGATTTAGTGACGTTTGTGATTTGCAAATTAGGATAATATTTTTCATTAATAGTGCTCATTATAGAGTTAATGCACGGCGGGCTGATATAAACAGGGTTCGAATTAGTTGCTTAGTTTAATTGCGATAAGCGCTATATTTTTTCATTAATTAGATAAGGCGACGTTGGTTGGACCAAGCGTAATTCGGTTTCTATATTCAACTAACGGATTGGGACGCTCTAAGCTCCATAATGCGAAAAAGTATGTAATATTTAATTAATAACAGTTTTATTTATAAAACATTACTAACAGAAACGAAACGATTATTTATTTACAGTTGAGTTTAGAATTTGGTATTTTTCAAACAGTAACTGATTTTGTCGATTCACCATAGATGGCGCTATTTTCAATTAAAATGCCTACACATATTATCTACTAGATGACGCTAGGTCATTAATAAAATAAATCGATTATGCCAAGATAGTGGTAAAACAAACTCTTCTGGATACCATACTAGCGCCTCAACTGATATAAGTCTTCCTAGACCCGTCTCTATGAATATATCCATTATTTACTTACTGGAATATTATTCAATTTTTTTTTTTTTTTTTTCGGGAATGTAGCCCTTCAGAGTTCAAGTGATTAATAAGGCAGCAAAAATTTGTGTGTAAAAAAATTTCATACAATTTCTTTACAAGCATTGAAAACCAGAGAGCGTTAATCTCGACTGTGCTTTAACTATTTCCTTTGATATTATGTGTGTAACTCAAATGTACATATATGCAAATACCTAGTCGCACTAATCACAATACATGTCAAAATGTTTCACTATTAGATCTTTAACGGACAAACTTTAAAACGTGTCTCCAGTTAAAATCAACTTATTAAAGCCATCGATATTATAAAAGGAAAACTAATATGATACGATGTTTTTTCTATATGAATTAGCTTTCTATGCTAACAAACTCCTTGGTATCTTTAGTCCACGTTTTATAAGTCAGTTTCAGCCTTATTCATAGCTTTGATATAATTTGTGGTTTCGTTGCGATGTCGTTCTGTAAGAAACAAAACACCACTTTCGTTTAATATTAGATTCATGACTTAAGATGCGTTTTAAAGTACAGCCACACATAATAGAAAAGTAGCTTTATATAGGAAAGATAAAAATCCTTTTTATTAGTAGAATTCAGATAAGATATAAAATAGTTAATTTGTAATTTGGGAAGATTTTATTTCATCATTCTGTACTAGTTAATACATATCGTTAAATATAAAAACCATTGCAGTGCTACATTTTTTGATCGCTATGAGATTTAAATAATATTTTAGGACGATTCGTAGATTTGATCACTGGCCAAACATTTCGTGAGCCACTGACACTGTGTAACAAATATAGGCTAATATTGGTCATATGATAGAATATTTAATTTCAGTACAAAAAAGTATTCACTTACGTTGTACGACTTAAAATGGCCACTAATGTATGAAGATGCTGTTTATAAAATTAACTTAATAATGATTTGATGTGTGATGGCCAGTTTCGTGAAGTTATCAAATCTACGACCAAGTCACGTTTTGACTTTATTATGTGTCTGCAACTAAAAATCTTCATAGCGGATTTTAAATTTAGCAACATTAAAACTACTATTTTAGGCATTATTATTATTTAAGGCATTTATTAATTTTCTTACTTTTTTTATATACCTAATTGTGTTTGTATATTTATGGACACCTAGCTTTTCGAATTTAATTTTGGAAACCACCTATTTTTATATTATTTTTAGTTACAATCTAATTTTCGACTGTATAAGTTACAACAAGTTGGAATTTAGATATTTTCTAGTTATTTTTTGGTTGTGTATTTTACTTTATTTTTGTTGAATGGTCATCTCGATTATTGGCATTATTTCTGTCGGGTCTACATCTACAAGACAATGATATATTTAAGTTACGTAATCTCAAAAAACATCTTAAAAAGCTGGCGATATCCGATAAATGTCGGTATTTTGCAAAATCTTAACTTAAATTATGTACGAGTTGATCTTTCTTAATCTAAGTTACCATTATGTTATTTTTAGGATAAACTTGCGCCAGAGCAGGTCTTTAGATTACGGAAAAATCATACAACATCCATTATTGCCGCCATTGCTGACATTAATACGATTTTTTGAATTCATTCCTAACACTACAAATTAAGTCACATAAACTAATATGCTAGTTAACATCGAACGTATGAATCCTCGAACGACCGATCTCAATAGAATTTAAAACTAACCATTGATTTGAAAAAGATCTCGAAATATGTGAATTGTTTTTGCAAATAATTTCTTTAAGTACATTTTGAGGCTACGTATTTCAGCTTAAGTAATTTATAGTTTGGATCCAATGTCTTATGTAAAACAATATTTTACCTAGGCTTATAGTATTCGACTTAATTCTCGACCCATCATGAGATGCGAAGTCCGACGTGGAATTAACCACGAACGATAAATCAATGTTATACATGTGTATCTATTTTAAATGTATTGTTATATAAACAGTTTCATCTTAAATTTAATAAGTTTTTACAAAGGCCGTTAAATTTCGCCGGTTCTATCTAGTAGTTAAAGTTGTTTTGTGTTAAATTTAAAAAGAGTCGTAGTAATAATTATCACACTAAATATATTCAGAGGTGTTATTAAAATGTATTCGATATTAAATGATAAATAAAAACAACAAATATTGTTAACGAAGTATGGATTCTGCAATATGAATTATGTATTGACGGAGTCCTACTTGCTTGGTCTTAAATGTGTCACCCCCTTCTAACAATTCAGTCAGATGTAAAGACTCAACTAAAGTATAATACCCGCCTTCCACTGCGAGCGGAACAAACCCATTACGGACTCCGGTATACTCGTAACGATGATTTTCATACATTTTCATTTCTGTGTGAAACTCGGTCAAATCGCTTACCTCA